TAGTGGCCAAAAACTGGCTCTAGGCAGGGACATTTGGGTTTTCATGGCCACTGTAATTACTCCCTTACAGTTGGACAGCGAAGGTAAACGAGTGAGTTGCAATCTGCAACTACACTGCTGAATCCTACACACTGAACCTTAAATTACTTCTGTCATGTCCTCTGGAGTTGCATAAAGGTAGTCGATGACACACACGCTAGACATTCGTATGTAAAACATAACTACTCTCTCACCCTGTCATTATTTTTCTGTCTCTGATTACAACCACATACACAGTGTGACTTTTTTGCTGTCAATCTTTCTCATCCAGTGTTTTTCTTCACTCTCTCTGTCTCCCACTCACTTCACACTGTGTACACACACACACACACACACACATCCCTGAACCTCTCTCCATTGCCTTTTTATTCCATCATAATATGCTTGTTATAATATATGTGGGTGTGAAGTGAGTGTGAGAGAGACAGGAACATCATTAAGGTTTTGGTACCTTCCAAGGCCTTCATCAGTGATTGCACTCACTCAGAAACTAACAAACTCACATTCGCTCTGATTCGCGCTGTCATACACTTTTTTTTTTAACTTTCAGCGCTGTATTAATAAAAGAAACCTCGATCTGTGTTACTCTGTCCATCTGTCGACTCAGGACATTTATCTAACTTCCTCTGTGAATGCAAACTGCACTGCAATCCATACATCTATATAAAAGATTACCTTGAGACAAAAAAAAGGGAGAGAACCTTGAAATGATGTATCTTGTGTTAATTAATTGTTGCAAGTCTGTGTTCACATGTTTTTATGTTATGTAACAGTTTGAAAATCATTTAAAGAAAAAAAAAGAAATGTGAGCAGAGTGATAAAAAACAGTTTTCTGCTGTCCCTGCTGTGCACCGTGAACACTGCGTCTGACAGTCACTCCTCTCCTTTTCTTGAAGACATTTTCATCATATTATAGCTAATTAACGATAAAATTGATCTGACAATGCCTAGCCTTCTGGGTGCTTTGATAGTTTCTAGGTGTACTGATGAGGGCAGCTTGGGAGAACAGAGAAAATACTCCCCTTTGTTGGTGTCATTATTTCCCAATGAGCCATGGTTCTCTGCTACCCGTGAGGAGAAAAGAACCTTCATGTAGCCCAGAATGTCAAGTGACCTTACGTGGATATTTGAAGCTTAACTTTTTGCAGGTTGCATATGATATGTGAAGAGGGCAATTGTGTCCTTGCAGCAGCATCATCTTCACCTCGGCCTTATTGACTGGAGCTACAGTGACCTTCAGTTTTATATATTTATTTACTTGATAAATTCATTTATTATGTAATTAATTAAATACCAGACTTAACTCATCTCCCTGTTTTCCTGACCTGTGAATCTTACATAGAGCTGTCATGTTTCCATTTCTGTCTCTTTATACATTCACCCGATGTGTTCATCCAGAGTTAATTATGAATAATTTCCTCGGGGTGTCATTCTCATGAAAAAACACGGCGTGAGGAGGCGAAGGCCAAGGAGGAGGTTTTCTTAAGCCTTTTAATTTGAGAATTGTCTTGGTTGACCTATATATAATGAGCAATGGAAGAATATATTCAATAATATGAAGCCATTTCAGCCTCTGAGGTCAAACGGCATCCTACAACAGCAAACAAACGGGATGGTGTCTGTGCCTAAGGAGAGCATGTGTGGGTGTATTACAATACACAAACCAACTAAGAAATAAGTTAACGCTAGGGTGCTTGTAACCCTGCAGGTCGTGTAGTTTGGTTTTAAATGGAAACTGAAGGCAAGAAGAGAAACACTAAATGTAAAGTGTGAGTGTGCAGATGGGCAGATGCAGGTGAAGGGTGTTGTATGAATGATCTGAGGGGGCTTACAGGGACAGGAGATCTAATCTATCTATCTAAGATATTTTTAGTTGAATATATCTGAAGTGTGTGCAGTTACATTTTCTTGTATTTAGCCAGAGTAAAAAAGAAATAAAAATCTGAATATTTTTTTTCTCTAAATGCTTTTGGAAATAGTATTTTCAGGCAGGTCAAGGCAGATTTATTTGTATAGCACATTTAATAAAAATCAAAGTCCTTTACATAGCTCAACACCTCTAAGACGAAGGAGCTGGTCATTGACTTTGGGAGGCCCAGA